TAAAATGCAAGCATTTGAGGAGATGGATCACAAATATTAATGGAAAAAGTGAATTATGGAAGCAAAATAATAGCAGTGTAAAATATTTTTTAACCATACCAGGCTGTCCCACAGGACTGGTGGACCATGTAGACAAAAATGGCTGGCCAGACATCTTCAAAGGGGCTGATATCAAAGTGGTATCTAACAAAGAAAGTTCAGGTTTAGCAAAAGGAAATATCCTGTTAATCTTATTATATTCATGCTGAGGCTACCAGATAATGTACTCACCTGATATGCTAAGGCTACTAGATAATGTAGTCACTTGACAGCACTAACCTGCTTCTGAACATGTGTGTAAACTGACTTTTCTGGGCCAGACCTTCAGCTGGTGCAAGTTAATGTCATTCTATGGACTCCCATGGAACTATGCTGATTAATAGCACCTGAAGCTGACTAGCCTGGCATGATTAAGAAAACTAAAATTGTTTTTAAAAATGTAATCAATCAACCAGAATCTTTTTTATTCAACAAGGATAACAAGGGGAATATATAACCCAGTTAAGAAAATCTTCAAACCCTAAGTAGTCATTTGCTATGCAAAATGTTAGGGTGGTAAAAGTAAGAATATCATGGCCTTGTCACTGGTAAAATTCAATTATTTGTTTCAAAAGTTGGGTAAGGTTTCTTTGGGCTTTTTTTCAGTCAAATGAGCTTTTACTGGTTAACAGAAAGTCAAAACTTCAAATGCAAACATTTAATACTGTGTTTTTGTGTTTCACCATCCAACATCTTTTCCTTCACATCAGCATTCATACCTCATGCTAGCGGCCAGGGTGGCTGAGCTATCTGTCCCTTGGTTATAACTTCATAGTTTCTAGGGTTGGAAGGGACCTGAGCAGATCATCTAGTCCGACCCCCTGCCATGGCAGGAAAGAGTACTGGGGTCAAACAACCCCAGCAAGGTGTTCATCTAACCTCCTCTTAAAGACCCCCAGGGTAGGAGCCTGCACCACTTCTCTTGGAAGTTGGTTCCAGACCCTAACCGCCCTGACCGTGAAATAGCGCCTCCTGATGTCTAACCTAAACCTACCCTCTGCCAGCTTTTGACCGTTATTCCTGGTCACTCCTGGCAGTGCTCGGGGGAACAGTGACTCCCCCAATGCCTGCTGATCCCCCCTGACTAGTTTATAACAGGCCACAAGATCCCCCCTCAGCCTTCTCTTTTGGAGGCTGAACAGGTTCAGGTCCCGTAGCCTCTCCTCATAGGGCCTGCCCTGCTGTCCCCAGATCATGCGACTGGCCCTCCTCTGGACCCTCTCTATGCTGTCCACATCCCTCCCGAAGTGCGGCGCCCAGAACTGGACGCAGTACTCCAACTGCGGCCTGACCAGTGCCGCATAGAGGGGGAGGATCACCTCCTTGGACCTGCTCGAGATGCATCTATGGATGCATGACAAGGTGCGGTTGGCCTTCCTAACTGCCTCCCCACACTGCCGGCCCATGTTCATCTTGGAGTCAACGATGACTCCAAGATCCTTTTCCACCTCCATGCTGACAAGACGGGAGTTCCCTAACCTGTAGGTATGGTGCCAGTTGTTCCTCCCCAGGTGCATCACCTTGCACTTGTCTGTGTTGAAGCCCATCCTATTCTCATCCGCCCACCCTTAATCTCTTTCATTGCACCTCTTGTGCTGTAGGTGTTCTGTTTACTTTGCACTCAACCCAACTAAATGTTAGCTTGTGTGGGGTTAAACTGAAGAGCACAGCAGGTGCATTAGACGTGAAGGTAGGTGAATTGCTTGGAAAAATGGTTAATGTATTCAGATTTCTCAAACTAAAGGTTTTTATGCAGCTCAGAAAGAAAGGCTGTCATATTTAAAAGTAAAAATCAATTTTGTTGAGGAGGTGGGTTATATAATATCATTTAACAAAGCACCAGAAATTATACTGCACAGAACAGTGCTATACTGGGATGGAATCCTATATGCTGCTGAGCACTTTGACTTTCAACAAGCATGTGCTAAACTTTAAGCAGTAGTCGTCCTAGTTAAACTTATGCACAAGCTTACATATTCTGTAGGATCAAAGCCATGGTGCTTAACACTTTGCAGCATTGAGTACCCTGGGCTAGATCCCCAAATGACAGGTGTTACAACTCTCAGCTGTACAACACCTGACTTATATATTAGGCATCTAGCTCCTAAAGCAGAATTCATAGCCTTGATTTAGACTTTTAAATTCCCTGTACAGAATATGGGAAGTGTTAGGAGTCTCAGAATGAGATTTAAAGTGTCACCAGGGTGAAGCTACCCAAATGTAGCTACCGGAAACTCTTATCGAGAGTCTAAATCCTGCCCTTCTCCCCTAACTTTGGCCTGTAGGGAAGGACCTATATCCACTTGACCCCTATTCTGAAGTAAAGTAATTAGTCCTTTTTTTTTTTTTTTTTTTT